AAACCCTGCGAACCTCAAGGGCCCTACACCGTAAACCCTAAACCCTAAGCCCTAAAACCTAAACCCTAACCCTAAACCCTAAACCCTAAACCCTAAACCCTAAACCCTAAACCCTAAACCCTAAACCCCTAAACCCCTAAACCCCTAAACCCTGAACCCTAAACCCCCCAAAAAATGGCCAGGGCGCCGGTCTCCACGAGCATCACCCACGTGATGAGCCTGGGAGGACGTCAAGAGACAGAACTGGCTTGGAGGGTTAAGGGTTTAGGGTTCAGGGTCTAGGGTCTAGGGTTTAGTTTTAAGGCTTAGGGCTTTTAGGGTTTTTTAGGGTTTCTAGGGTTTTTAGGGTTTATAGGGTTTATAGGGTGTTTAGGGTTTATAGGGTTTTCAGGGTTTATTATAGGGTTTATAGGGTTTACAGGGTTTACAGGGTTTATAGGGTTTATAGGGTTTATAGGGTTTATAGGGTTTATAGGTTTTATAGGGTTTATAGGGTTTAGGGCTTAGGGTTTAGGGCTTGGGCTTCCGCCCAGGAACTGCACCAGCAGCGCGCACTGCGCCGCCTGGCTCTTCGCGATGAACTCGCCGCGCTTGGCGCCGTCTTCCATGCCTGAAGAGGGTTTAGGGTTTAGGGCTTTAGGGTTTAGGGTTTAGGGTTTAGGGTTAGGGTTTTAGGGTTTAGGGGAGCTTGCTGTAGGGTATGCTAAGAACCACAATCCTGCAACTTACACTGTAAACTTCTCAACCCAAATCCCCACATGGCCAAGGGTTGGGATAGGTGTCAGGATTTGGGTTTAGGATGTAAACCCGAAACCCTACTTGGAGGCTAGAAGAAACTGAGTACTTATCACCCAATTTTTCACCATAGCAGGGCACCTACAGGGCTCAGAAGTGGGTGATAAGTACAGTTCTAGTTGGGTCGTAAAGTACCACGAACCTCCAAGTAGAATCTCAGGTTTACATCCTAAACCCCCAAACCCTGGCACCTATCCCAACCCTTGGCCATGTGGGGATTTGGGTTGAGAAGCTTACAGCGCAAGTTGCAGGATTGTGGTTCTCAAGGAGATATTGGGGCCCAAAGAACAATCCCGCAAACCTCGGGGGAGTTTAGGGTTTAGGGTTTCGGGTTTAGGGTTTAGGGCTTGGGGTTTGAGGCTGAGGGCGTAGAGTTTAGAAGTTTAGGGCGGATGTCTGGAGTTTAGGGTTTCACAGACCCTGCAAGTGAACCTGAAGCCAGGAAATCCCAGGGTTTCGCGGGCTTGGGAGGGCAGAGACCCCTTGAGGGTTTAGGGTTTAGGGTTTCGGGTTTAGGGTTTAGGGTTTCGGGTTTCGGGTTTAGGGTTTATCAGGGAGAGTGTCGGAGAAGGCCCCCTAAATATCGCTCACGAGCCACATCCCTCCGAGAAGTACTTCTCCTTGTCCTGCTTGGCGAAGAACTTCAAGGCCTTCTGGAACCTGGGCGGTTTAGGGTTTAGGGTTTAGGGTTTAGGGTTTGGGGTTTGGGGTTTGGGGTTTAGGGTTTAGGGTTTAGGGTTTCCCCTCCCTAAACCCTAAACCCGAAACCCTAAACCCTAAACCTAGACATGCAGACAACACCCTGGCACAGCCGGGACGCCACTCAATGCACTTGTCCAGGTAAGACTCGACCTGCCAGGGGGTTTAGGGTTCAGGGTTTAGGGTTCAGGGTTTAGGGTTTAGGGCTTTGAGTTTTTCATAGAGTAAACTCTATCCCTTGGAGGATCGAGCACTGGGCAGCAAGCCCGAGACTCACCCGCAAGTCCTCCGACTGGTTCGCTTCTGAGGGTGGTTTTTACATTGCAATCTACAGTGTACCTTGGGATGTTCCCCTTTATACTAGCAGGCCTGCGTAGGAATTCTAGTACCTAAACCCTAAACCCTAAACCCTAAACCCTAAACCCTAAACCCTAAACCCTAAACCCTAAACCCTAAACCCTAAACCCTAAACCCTATTCCAATCCCTACTAAGGACTGTTAGTATAAGGGGGACCATCCCACGGTGTGCGGTTTAGGGCTCGGGCCGGGGAATCCTGCTTCCTGAAAGCAAGTCGGCCCCTTTGAAAAATAGACGCAGAATGCCTCTACACCCTAAACCCTAAACCCTAAAGCCTAAACCCTAAACCCTCACATCAGAAAGAGTCTCCCATGTAAAAGGCCCCCGGCGCCTTGCCAAGCAGAGGCAGCGGCTCTGGGAATGGAACGTACTCCTGCTTTGTGGAAGGGTTTGTAGGGTTTAGGGTTTAGGGTTTAGGATTAGGGTTTAGGGTTTAGGGTTTAGGGTTTGGGGTTTAGGGTTTAGGGTTTAGGGTTTAGGGTTTAGGGTTTAGAGCTTTTGGAAGCCGAGGCTTCAGAGCGCACATGGATTCTCAAGATACCTTGCAGATGCTGGCTTTGCCAGCAGGGCTTCGGCTGAGGGATCTGGGGTCGGGGCATGCCGAACCCTTCAACCCTAAGCCGTAAATCTCCCTAAGCCCTAAACCCTAAACGCTAAACCCTAAACCCGAAACCCTAGTCCCTGAACCCTAACCCTAACCCTAAACCCTAAACCCTGCACCCCACTAGACTTCGAGCTAAGGGCTACCGGCTAAGGCTTTGAGTCTGCAAGGTTTCAAGTTCAAGGGCGCACTACTGACCCTGGCGGAGACCAAGCCAACTGATGACCCTAAACCCGGTGTTGGGTTTAGGGAGTTATTAGGGTTCAGGGTTTAGGGTTTAGAGCGACTTAGAATGTAGGGTTGAGGGTTTAGGGTGTAGGGTTTAGAGGGTGAGGGGTGTAGGGCCTCGTAGGGTTTTAGGTTTTAGGACTTAGGCCGCTCTCCTTTCCGACGCAGGCGCTCATGCCCACGGCATGCGGTCGGTTGTCCTTCAAGGCAGCTCTGAGGTTTAGGGTTTAGGGTTTAGGGTTTAGGGTTTAGGGTTTAGGGTTTAGGGTTTAGGGTTTAGGGTTTAGGGTTTAGGGTTTAGGGTTTAGTGTTTAGGGTTTAGGGGGGTTTAGGGGGGTTTAGGGTTTAGGGTTTAGGGTTTAGGGTTTAGGGTTTAGGGTTTAGGGTTTAGGGTTTAGGGTTTAGGGTTTAGGGTTTAGGGTTTAGGGACAGATCGAACTAATTGCTCGACATTGGGGTAAGTCCAGGAGCTGGCGTCCATCCTAAAAATCTGCCTAAACTCTTGTGGTTCAGGGTTTAGGGTTTAGGGTTCAGGGTTCAGGGTTCAGGGTTTAGGGTTTAGGGTTTGGGGTTTGGGGTTTGGGGTTGAGTCCTCGCCGTCAGGGAACTCCAGCGTGTAGCTGTCGATGGCAATGAAGAACTTGGGGAACCTCGCAGTTGTTGCTTCCCAAGCTCAGGCGAAATCTTAGAACCACAAACGTGTTTAGGGTTTAGGGTTTAAGGTTTAGGGTTTAGGGTTTAGGGATTAGGGGACGGGAATTGCTTGGCTCAGGCTTAGGGTTTGTGCCGGCGTTCTGAAAGGGGCTTCGGTGGCGAAGAAGTCGCTCTGCTTGCAGCAAGGTGGCTGTGGGATCACCTGGCGCGTGCCGAAAGCCCTACACCCTACACCGGGCGCGTGCCGAAAGCCCTACACCCAACACCCTAAACCTAAACCTAAACCCTCATCTCTAGACCCCAGACCCTAGAGCCTAAAACCTAAACCCTCTAAACTCTCAACTCCAATCCCTCAACCCTAAACCTAAACCCCATACCCTAAACCCCTCAGCTGAAACCCTACAGGCCTCACCCTAGGCCCAAAACATAAACTGAACTTGTGCGATCCCACGCCCCAACCCTACTTGGAGGTTCGTGGTACTCATTAATTGCTCAATAAGTACCATGAACCTCCAAGTAAGTCTCCAAACCAAACAAGAGGTGTTCCTAAATCAGGTCGCAGTTAGGGACAAGACAATGTACCTTGCCAAACCAGGCGTACCTTCTTCGTTTTTTCTATGGGGCTAGCACGCAACCTAACCCGTCACTCAAACACCACCTTAATCTCCAAAACCTACACCCTGAACCCTGAACCCTGAACCCTAAACCCTAAACCCTAAACCCTAAACCCGAAACCCGAAACCCGAAACCCTAAACCCTAACGCAACAACAGAAAAAGGTAATGTCGGCTCACTCTGGATCCCCTGGAACTCCCCAACTTTCATGGCTGTCTTAGCGGGAACCCTAAACCCTAAACCCTAGCCCCTAAACCCTAAACCCTCAACCCTCAACCCTAAACCCTAAACCCTAAACCCTACACCCTAAACCCTAACCCTGAAGCCTAAAGCCCTACGTGGAGGTTCATGGCACTTGTTGACCAATGATAACTGTACTTATAACCCACTTATACGCCCCTTAAGTGCCCTAATATGGGGTATAAGTACAGTTATAAGTACAGTAATGATTGGTTAATAAGTACCATGAACCTCCGAGTACGGCTTTGGATGGCTTTGGAGGCTTAGGGTGTAAGGGCTTCGGGGCTTAGGGGTTTAAGGGTTTCGGGGTTGGGGGTTTAAGGGAGGGGTCTAAGGACGCAAGCAGGAGCCCCGAACGGAACTGCTCCACCCTGCCTTCGCCGGCTGGTTGCCTGGGCCGCGGAAGGGGGTTTGGGGTTTAGGGTTGAGGGTTTCGGGTTCGGGGTTCAGGGTTTAGGGTTTGGGGTTTGGGCTTGAGGGGCTTCGGGTTCAGGGGGTTGAAGGGGCGAAGGGGATGGAGGGGGGGGGGGGGGGGGGTGCGTTCGGGGGTTTCGCGGGCTTTGGATTCAAGCCTTTTCAAGCTCAGAGCTCAGCGTCAGCGTGCATTGAGGCAGGCGCGTTCCTTCCATAAACACCTATCCGACGATTGCGTGCATTCTGCACAACCAGGTGCCACATCCCCGTTTGTGCTTAGTGGGGTTGATGAGGGAACCTACCCTGAAGAATTTCTTCGGGCTGAGCATAAAGGACTTAAGGTTTAGGGCTTAACTATGCCCGAGCGAAACCTGCTTAAACACCTTAAGTACTTCTGGTAGGGTTCTCGTGTTTAGGGTGTAGGGTTTTTCTTCGAGAAACCAAAAGCGCCCCCTTGAGCCCGGTGACCGTTGCTCAACACATCCAGCAGGTCATTGGAGGACATGAAGTAGAAGCGGGGGAAGGCTCGCTTCTTGCTGTCCTGGGCTGCGAGGAGGGTCGACTGGGAGGGTGTTGTGCTGAGCTCACCGCACTGCTATCGGTTCCCTTGTTGGGCCTAGGGTTTAGGGTTTAGGGTTTGGGGTTTAGGGTTTGGGGTTTAGGGTTTGGGGTTTAGGGTTTGGGGCGTAGGGCGTAGGTCCCAGTACAGGGCGGCTTCTGTCTCGGGAGGAGATTCCGGAAGCAGGAGACAACAACCGAAAAAAAAGCAGGAAAAGCAAACAGAGAACCAGGGAAATAGATAGAATGATGTTTTAAAAGGTAATGATAATACTAATAAGGATAATAGTAATGATAATAATAATAATGATAATAATTATTATTATAAATAATAATAATAATAATGATAATCGAACTAATAATAACAAATGATAATGACAAACAATAACAATAATCATAACAGTAAAAATACGAATCATGATGAACACTGTTCTTTACAGTGCCTTTGCCTCTAAGCCTCTTTGTACAACAAGTTGTATGGAGTCAACACAAGACCCCAAAGACTGACTTACACCCAAGCATTCCAAACTCTCTTGTTTCCCCTTTTGTTGCTTGGAGGTACCCTAAACCCTAAACCCTAAACCCTAAACCCTAAACCCTGAACCCTGAACCCTGAACCCTGAACCCTAAACCCTAAATTCCATGAAGGCTCTGGCAGCCATTTCCTGATCAGGAAGTAGTGCGTTCTTGTATGTCAGATTGCCGCAGTTTGGGATGCTAATTCTGCACAACCCTAAACCCTAAACCCTGAACCCTAAACCCTAAACCCTAAGCCCTAAACCCTAAACCCTAAACCCTAAACCTTAAACCCTAAACCCTAAACCCTAAACCCTAAGTAAGGACCCTTGGGGAGCGATTCTTGAGTGCGGCCCAAAGGGCCATGAACTCGTTGAGGGCCTTCTGGCACATCTCCAGCGCGCCCTGGACCTTCTCGAGCTTCTGGAAGATGTTGCCTGGAGCTTTGGGGTGTTTAGGGTTTAGGGTTTAGGGTTTAGGGTAATGGGTAAAGGGTACAGGGGAAAAGGGCAAAGGGTAAAACTCTAACATCCCTTGGATAGCCGACACGGACTGAAGTGCGAAATGTCACGCCCCGGCCTTGGTTGCAAAAGTCCTTCGCGCTCTTCACCTGCGGTCTTTTCTCAGGTCTTCAGGGCATCTCAAGTTTTGGGTTGTAACCCAAACACCCCTCAACCCTAAACCCTAAACCCTAACCCCTAAACCCCTAAACCCCTAAGCCCTAAGCCCTAAGCCCTAAGCCCTAAGCCCTAAGCCCTAAGCCCTAAGCCCTAAGCCCTAAGCCCTAAGCCCTAAGCCCTAAGCCCTAAACCAAAACCCTAGACCAAAACCCTGAAGCCTAAGCCTAGACCCGGGTTTAGGGTTTAAATGTGCCACAGTGAAGTTTTTTAGTACAGAGGCAAGTGGCAGTCTTCTCCCGTCATATGGGGCACTAAACCCTAAACCCTAAACCCTAAACCCCAAACCCCAAACCGATGCCCCAAGGAGCAGCCCCGAAGTCCTCCAAAAGCCCAAAAACTGGGATGTTCCGATGTTCCCCTTATACTAAGAATCCTTAAGAGGGATGCTAATGCCCCCTATTCTAATCTCCACTAATGACTGTTAGTATAAGGGGCAACAGCCCAAAAATCTAGGGGCTATAAACTACCAATTGCTTAAGAACCCCTCCAAAAAATGAACACAATCTTCCTTATAAGAGTAATATAGGGATGATTGCTTTTTGTTTTTGGGGGTTATTCAGCAAATAGTAGTAAAGGGAACACTATTCGTACTTATTTCGACCCCTGGAGTACTTGGCTTCACCTCCGCATCCACCAGCACTGGACCTGGTTGCCATTCGCGCGACTTGGCGCTGCATGGCCCTCTGAGTACCCTAAACCCTAAACCCTAAACCCTAAACCCTAAACCCTAAACCCTAAACCCTAAACCCTGAACCCTGAACCCTGAACCCTGAAACCTGAAACCTGAAACCTAACCCTCAACCGTAAGCAGCATTGTAGTCGATGAAATGTTCCTCACACTGAACCCATCCTCCAGAAGGATGTTGAGTCTCAGGTGGCTTGCTCTCATGTTACTGGATACTTCGAAGTATTTTGCGTACAAGTTGCGCTTGATCTGCCCAGCTTAGTATCCTAGTAGCCATATTGTGATAAGGGCACCCTTTTTTGGGTTGGTTACTCTACAAGGGAACCCATAACCAAAAAAAGTAAAGGGTACCTCTGGGCTGCTTAGACAGTATATGATGTAAGGTACCTGAACGCACACAGCATCGTGCATAATCATACATTTGATCTGCAGAGTCTGTGGCTAAAGTACTTGAACGCACATCTGTGTATACCAGGCAGCCTTCTCCTTAAACCGGAACCCTAAACCCAGCACTCAAATTGTTTGGTCTTCTACAGTTAACCTCGAACTATTCGAGCCCAAAATCCTACCGCAAATCACCATAACCCCTCAAGAAAATAGACTGAACCCCAAACACAACCCCTTAGCCCGAAGCACCTGGACGCCGTTCATCAAAATTTCCTTGACATCCATGTCAATGCCAACAAACTTGTCACTCTCCTTGCGAGGGGAGAGAGCTTGTTCAATATGGGTTGGTTCAGAGGGGAGGGGGAGGAACGAGGGGGAAGGGGGCACGGGGGAGGGGGGGGGGAGGGGGAGGGGGGAGGAAGGAGGCTGGAGGAAGGAGGGGGGAGGGGGGAGGAGTGGGAAGGGGAGGAGGGGGTTTAGGGTTTAGGGTTTAGGGACCGAAATGAAACCGTAAGCTATCCCCCAAGCCCTAAACCCTAAACCCCCTAAACTCCGAAGGCACTGCCAGCTTTCTAAAGACTTGCTCAGCGAACGCTCCTCCGGCAGCTCTTTCTTCACCTCGTCACTGAAGATGAACAAGTTCTCCAGGAAGACCTGGAAGGCTTGATAGGGTTTAGGGTTTAGGGTTTAGGGTTTAGGGTTTGGGGTTTAGGGTTTAGGGTTTAGGGTTTGGGGTTTGGGGGTTGGGGTTTGGGGTTTGGGGTTTGGGGTTTGGGGTTTGGGGTTTGGGGTTTGGGGTTTGGGGTTTAGGGTTTGGGTTTAGGGTTTAGGGCTGGGGCTCAAGGAAGACCTGGTAGGGTGTCGAGATGGCCAGGAAGATCTGGTGAAACCCGAAACTTCAAGCCCTAGACTCGGGACGGTTTAGGGTTGCGGTTTGGGGTTTAGGGCTTGGGCTGCAAGGTTTTGGGCTCCCAGCTTTGCTCGCGCTTGGAAACAGCTCACATTCCGGAGGCAGGGTTCAGGACTTGGGGTCGGGAATAGTGCTTTGGGCTTAGGGTTCAGGGTTTGGAGGTTAGTGTATATGGCAACCAAACCAGCTGGGTTTCGGTGCACAAGGGTGCAATTTGGCTTACACAGGGTTCATCTATTCCTAGCACTACCCTGCACCCTAGACCCTAACCCGAAGCCTTAACCCCTAAACCCTAAACCCTAAACCCTAAGACCCTAAAGCCTCATCCCGCTTGCTGGGGTCATGGCCCAGGACCGCTGCACTTCGGACAGCAACTGCGAGACCTCCGCGATGTTCCTGGGATTCGACCCGAGCTGCATGGTATGCGAAGGGATTCGGAATGCAACATTGAAAGCCTACTAAACCCTAAACCCCTAAACCCCTAAACCCCTAAACCCCTAAACCCCTAAACCCCTAAACCCCGAAACCCCTAAACCCCTAAACCCCTAAACCCCTAAACCCCTAAACCCCTAAACCCCTAAACCCCTAAACCCCTAAACCCCTAAAAAAACCCTAAGCCCTAAACCTTAAACCCTGAATGCTGATTCTGGGTGCTGGGTTTGGGGAGGTAGGGATACAAGTACAGCATCCAAACAAGGCGATCACAGCCCATACCTGGGGCTCGCAGCTACCTGTGAAACTCTAAGTCAGGCCCTGAACCCCCTAAAGCCCGAAGCCCTACAGGCAGCCTGAACCATGAACCCCTAAACCCTAATCCCTAAAACCTCAACCTCATAAACCCTCCACCTTAAGGCCTATCCTAACGGTTTATCCTATGAGCCCTAGATAGAGGCCCTAGCCGTTGAAAAACCTTCAAGTAGGGTTTTGAGGGAGACCCGGGCCAAAAGCCCAAGCGACGCCAGGGTCTTCTGCCACGAAGTGACCTTGCCAAAAACAGTTGGGGTTTCAGGTTCAGGGCTTTGGGTTTTGAGTTCAGGGTGTAGGGTTTAGGGTTTGGGGTTTCAGGTTGAGGGTTTTAGTTTTTGGGTTCAAGATCTAGAGGGTCCAGGAAGCCTAATCGCCCCCCAAAACCCTGGCTCCTTGCGGTGCAGAAACCTAAACCCTAAACCCTAAACCCTAAACCCTAAACCCATATGGGCTGATTGTTTGTCCGAGTGTTTGGGAGGATTCGGGTTGAGAGAGTTATTACGGTGGCTTCTACGGTTTTAGGGGGTCTAGGGTTCAAGGGTTTAAGGTTTAGGGTTTCGGGTTCAAGGGTTTAAGGTGGGTTTACGGTTTAGGGCTTAGGATATAGTATGTAGGATCCGGGTTTCAGAACCTCCGGTTTAAGATCTCGTGTTTGGTTCTAGGTTCTTTGGGAGGCTTGGGATTCTGCAGTTCCGGGTGTAGTGTTTCTTGTAGCTTCTCTTAGCATCTGTGCAAGAGACGGAATTCTGCCTCCGAATGGCTAAACCCTTCATCCCACCACTGCCTTGAAAGCCCCCAACCGCTACAACCCTCTGAGCTTGAAAATGCTGAACCTGACTCGTCCTCGCACACTTCGGGAATTGGGTATCCTAGACAATTCCTGAAGCACCGAATTCCCCGATTGGCCACTAAGAACCTGTGAGTCAAAGTTAAACTCGCGCCCTGCGCCCTCAACCCCAAACCCTAAACCCTAATCCCCAAGCCCGATATCCTTCAATCCTAAACCCTAAACCCTAACCCGAAACCCTAAACCCGAATCCCTACACCCAAAGCCACAAACCTTGAATCGTGAACCACCCTGTGCCCAAAACCGTAATCCCTAAACCCTAAACCCTAAACCCTAAACCCTAAACCCTAAACCCTAAACCCTAAACCCTAAACCCTAAACCCTAAACCCTAAACCCTAAACCCTAAACCCTAAACCTAAACCCTAAACCCTAAACCCTAAACCCTAAACCCTAAACCCTAAACCCTAAACCCTACTGACACCCCGAAGTGGCGCCTCCGCTTCGAAGGTCGAGAGGAAGCGCGAAGCAAACCTCGCTTTGGGTCAAGGGCTTCGGGCTCTGGCTTTTGGATGTAGGGCTTCGGCTGAGGGTTCAGGTTTGGGGTTTAGGGTTTAGGGTTTGGGGTTTGGGGCTTAGGGTTTTGGGGTTTTTGGGGCTTGGGGTTTAGGGTTGCAGATGTAGCGTCTAGGCTTTAGGGTAGAGGGAGGAAGCTTTAGGGTAGCCTCTACAAAATAATAGGGTGGGTTTTGGGTACTACGGGGGGCTTAAGCCGAAATCCGGAGCTTCCTGCGTCGGAGCGGCATGTTCTGCACTTGAACCTGGTGCTCCTCCAGCATTTCAAACTTGTCATCCGCCAGCCTGGCATTCGAGCTTCCGAGCAGCCCTCAAACCCTAAACCCTTAACCCTAACCCCAAACCCCAGACCCCAAACCCCAAACCCCTAAACCCTAAACCGCAGGGCACCCTAAGTCCTGAACCCCAAGGGCTTTTGGCAGGGCCCTTGCGGAATGATTGCAAGCGGGCTTCGGGCGCTGAATCTGAGACACAAGCCCAAACCCCAGACCCCAAACCCAAAACGCACCTTCAGGCGTAGATTGAAAAAACCTAAACCCTAAACCCTAAAGCCTAAACCCTAAACCCTAAACTCTAAACCCTAAACCGCCCCAAGCGGCTTCATGAGCATCACCTCGGTGCCGCGGTGGGATTCGAACTGGAAGTCCACTTCGGCCCACTCCTGGCAATTCGGGTTTAGGGTTTAGGGTTTAGGGTTTAGGGTTTAGGGTTTAGGGTTTAGGGTTTAGGGTTTAGGATTTAGGGTTTAGGGTTTAGGGTTTAGGGTTTAGGGTTTAGGGTTTAGGGTTTAGGGTTTGGGGTTTAGGGTTTAGGGTTTGGGGTTTTATTGGGGTTTGGGGTTTGGGGTTTGGGGTTTAGGGTTGGGGGTTGGGGGTTTGGGGTTTGGGGTTTGGGGTTTGGGGCTTGGGGTTTGGGGTTTGGGGTTTGGGGCTTGGGGTTTGGGGTTTGGGGTTTGGGGTTTGGGGGGGGGGGGGGGGGGGGTTATTTAGGGGCCTTACGGGTCCAGGGTTTGAGGTCATAGGGTGTCCAGGACACAACACTTCTCGTCACCCTCATTCCCTCATTCCCTTACCAAGAACCAGGCAATTGTAGAGGGAGGTAGTTTAAGGTTTGGGGCTTGGGGCTGGCATTGGGGCTCACGGTTCATGATTTTTGCCTACAGGTTCTTCGTAGGGAATGAAGGAATTGGGCACCCAATGTAATTCTTTGAAGGAAATTTCTGGGGGATTCATGCGCTTAGGGTTTAGGCTTTTGGGTTTTGGCCGCGCCCCACTGGTTTATGTTACAAAGGCAGGTGGCCTCTTTATCTGTTGCCCTTCTACCTGAGCATAGCCCCTAGAAACCCTAGTAAGAACCCGTAAACCCTAAACCCTAAACCCTAAACCCTAAACCCTAAACCCCTCAAAGCCCATAGATTTGTGGCTTAGGGTGTTGGGGGGTGTCCTTCTGCAGCTTCTTCAAGGTGTTCTCCATCTTCATCTCCTGCTTGGCCTCCGCACTTCAGGCCCGTCAACCCTTTAGGGGTTTAGGGTTTAGGGTTTAGGGTTTAGGGTTTAGGGCTTAGGGTTTAGGGTGTGGGGTTTAGGGTTTAGGGTTTAGGGTTTAGGGTTTAGGGTTTAGGGTTTAGGGTTTAGGGTTTAGCGACCCCTTTGCCGGAGGCTTGCCTAAAACCCCTGTTTGAAACACCGCAACACCCTAAACTTTCAAAGCACCTAAGCCCTAAACCCTCGAAAGCCCTGCGCCTCCAAGAAAACGACTAAAACAGTTCGCAAGGGCAAGCACGAACCTTTGTCGCCTTACAGCCGAGTACAGCAATACCTCAACTCTTTGGATTCGCGGTGGCTGAAACCTTGAACCGTCATCCCGCCTAAGACCTCGAGCCCCCAACACCCTGCATCACCCCCTAGACGCTAAGCCCTGAACCCTAAACCGTAAACCCTAAACCCTAAACCTTAAACCCTAAACCCTAAACCCCCAACACAAAACAAAGCTCCGCCTGATCGGCCGTGTCCTCCACGAAGTCGGGGTTCTTGTGCAACTCCAAGTTCCACATATCCCGGAGGAGGATGTCCTTGAGGTTTAGGGTTTAGGGTTTAGGGTTTCGGGTTTAGGGTTTAGGGTTTAGGGTTTAGGGTTTAGGGTTTAGGGTTTAGCGGTTCAAGGGCTTAGGGCCCACCACCCAGAGCTCAAAAAATCACCATCACGAGCCTGAAGATGTGGCACGTGGGGGTCCCCTAAACCCTAAACCCTAAACCCTAAACCCTAAACCCTAAACCCTAAACCCTAAACCCCAAACCCTAAACCCTAAACCCTAAACCCTAAACCTTAAACCCTAAACCCTAAACCCTAACCCTAAACCCTAAACCCCAAACTGGGGTCGGGGCGGGTGTGACGGTGATGGACTTGCCACACCTGGGCCGACGTTGAGGGCTTTAGGACTCAGGGCTTGGGTTTGAGGGCGCTTCAGGCTCAGGGTTTAGGGTTTAGGTTTAGGGTTTAGGGTTTAGGGTTTAGGGTTTAGGGTTTAGGGTTTAGGGTTTAGGGTTTAGGGTTTAGGGTTTCGGGCTTAGGGTTTCGGGTTTAGGGTTGAGGGTTTAGGGTTTAGGGTTTAGGCTCTCGAGCTCTAACCCCTAAACCCTGACTCATAGTGAGAATTTGCAGCAACACGAGCTGCTTAGCTTAGGTCCATCGAGAAGTGCAGCATGGATTGTAGAAGTTGGGGCATTCTGAGTGCAAAGGGTCAAACCCTAAACCCCAAACCCTAAACCCTAAACCCTACACCCGAAACCCCAAACCCTAAATCCTAAACCCGAAACCCCAAACCTTAAACCCTAAACCCTAAACCTTAAACCCTAAACCCTAAACCCTGACAACAACAGCGACGGGGGGCTGGTCCATCAGCTGCGCCCAGTGCCTTGCGCGCATGGCCTCAGCTGCGCAGGCTCTCCGAGTCTTCGAAACGGACTTTGGGTCACCTTAAACTTAGGGTTTAGGGTTTAGAGTTTAGGGTTTAGGGTTTAGGGTTCTGGGTTCAGGGTTTAGGGTTTATGGTTTAGGGTTTAGGGTTCAGGGTTCAGGGTTCAGGGTTTACGGTTTATGGTTTAGGGTTTCGGGTTTTATGGTTTAGGGTTTAGGGTTTAAGGTTTAGGGTTTAGGGCTTAGGCCTTACAATCCTCTTCGTTTCTACTATTTGCTGCAGAACCCCCCCGCCCCAAAGCAATAGAGTTAGTTTTCCTGAGTAGGTCCAAAAGGGGATTATTATCTTGCGTTTTTGGGAGGTTCTTCAGAAAATAGTAGTGAACCCTCTAAACCTCTAAACCCTAACACCTAAAACCCTTGACTTTAAACCGTGAAGCCCCAAACCTATAACCCACGACCCTGGCAGCTGTTCAAGAAGCAAGACCTAGAACCCTAAACCCTAAACTCTAAACCCTAAACCCTAAACCCTATAAGCTTCCAACCTGGGTGAGGTTTCGGTTTTAGTCTTTCGGGGTTTAAGGTTCAGGGCTTAGGGTATAGGGTTTAGGGTTAGGGTTTAAGGTTTAGGGTTTAGGGTTTAGGATTTGGGGTCTACAGTTTAGGGCCTGTAGAAGGTGACGGGGAGTTTGGGGGTTTAGGGAGTAGGGTTTAGGGAGTAGGGTTTAGGGTTTAGGGTGTAGGTCTTAGGGTTTAGGGAGTTTAGGGTTTTTTGGATTTGGGGTTTAGGGCAACCAAACCCCAAAACCTAAACCCTGACGTCCGACCCAGAAGCAGGGTCTCGCAGCTCTCCGACAAGGGGGCAGAAGACGGTCCACTTCTTCACCACGTCCTTGGTGACAAGGGCTAAGGGTTTCCGGATTCCTCGAAGAAACGAACCTCTAAATGTCGGGCTGTAAGAACTCTATATCCTACACCCTGAACCTGCCTCAAACCCTATGCGGTTTCAACCTTCCATCCCCCCTTCCGCACCAGATTAGGGTTTAGGGTTTGGGGTTCAGGGACTTGGGGGGTAAGGGTTTAACTACAGCTCCAGCCTTGAGCAAGGAGAGCACCATGTTTACATGTGGCTTACAGTAGGGTTTAGGGTTTAGGGTTTAGGGTTTAGGGTTTAGGGTTGAGGGTTTAGGGTTTAGGGTTTAGGGTTTAGGGTTTAGGGTTTAGGGTTTAGGGTTCGCCAGGGGCGCCTGCACCCCCATGAAGGCGTCGCACTTGCGGTCGACCTTCACTTCCTTCAACCTCGGCGGCTAGGGGTTTTAGGGTTTAGGGTTGAGGGTTTAGGGTGTAGGGTTTAGGTTCCGGGTTTAGGGTTGAGACTTTTAGGGTGTAGGGTTTTAGGGTTGAGGGTTTAGTTTAGGGCTTGTAAGTTGATAGGTTTTGGGGGGGTCGGGGAGTTGGGGAGTTTCGGAGGTTCTCGGGGGTTTTTGGGACTTTGGGGGGGTTGGGGGGGTTTTCCGGTGGTTTTGCGGGGTTTTTGAGTGGTTTTCGGAGGTTGAGGGGGTTGTTGGGGTTGTGTTTGGGGTTTAGGTTTCACTCCTTCCCCAAAACATGAACCCACTCCCTCACGGTGAAGGGCGGGGGGGGGGGGGGGGGGGGGAATAACCACACTGCAAACAACAACCTACAGACTTAAAGTGGAAAACCCCGAACCCCAACCCTCTATCCCCACGCGCCCTAAACCCTGATCCCTGAACCCTCTGGAAGAGCGGCTTTTTGAACAATGCCTTGATCTCGTCCTCTCACGGGCTCTGAGGGGTTTAGGGTCTACTTAATTAGGCCTTGAAGCCGAAATAATAAACCCCACTCAGGGCTTAGGGTTTGAGGTTCAGGGATTATATAGGGTTTAGGGACTTGCGGGTTTGGAGAAGTAGATAAGTCAGGGACCCCTAACATAGACCCCCAAATAGTAGGATTCCTTTAGAAAAAGAACCCTAAACCCTAAACCCTAAACCCTAAACCCTAAACCCTAAACCCTAAACCCTAAACCCTAAACCCTAAACCCTAAACCCTAAACCCTTTTTTGTTGTGGGTGCTCAGGGTGACCGAACCACTCGCCAGTCCTCCATGTCGCCGGCCACGACCTGAGCCAACAACTTAGGGAGCCAGCTGTGTATCTCAAACCCTCAGGGTTTAGATCTTGGGGTTTAGGGTTTAGGGTTTAGGGTTTAGGGTTTAGGGTTTAGGGTTTAGGGTTTAGGGTTTAGGGTTTAGGGTTTAGGGTTTAGGGTTTGGGGTTTGGGGTTTAGGGTTTAGGGTTTAGGGTTTAGGGTTTAGGGTTTAGAAGACTTGGGCCTTAAAGTACTTCCGATATAGGGACTTTGGGACCCAAGTATAGAAGAATAAGGTACATGGACCCTTCGGGTTACCCTTGAAACCCTGAATCCTTAACTAAACCCTCCACCCCTTAACCCTGCACCACAAAACGCCTGAACACAACCATGCACCCCTACACACACACACACACACACAAAAACCGTTAGACTGAAACCCCATATAGCCACTTTAAGCCTGAGACCCCCTAAACTGCCCGTAAACCGCCCTTCAACGCAAAACCGTCAATCCCCAATACCTGAAACATCCTTGAGCCAAAGCCCTTTAATCCCGTAAGCCCTCCTTAAACCCTAAAACCCCAAGCCCCATATTCCCTTAAGCCCCTGAAACCAGCCTGCCTAAACCCTAAACCCTAAACCCTAAACCCTAAACCCTAAACCCTAAACCCCCTGCTGTAGGCCCCTAGAACTTCGGATTCCCAGGCGCTTTCCCCCAGCGCACGACCAGGAAGCCCTCGGTGATCTTGATGCGCTGGACCTCGAACTCCCAGAGGCCCTTGCCTGGGCGGGGTTTAGGGTTTGGGGTTTAGGGTTGGGGGTTTAGGGTTTAGGGCTTAGGGCTTAGGGTTAAGGGATAAAGCGGCTTTCAGGGCTTCAGGGGGTTTAGGGTTTTTGGGGTCTAGGGGGTTTAGGGTTTAGGGGTTCAGGTTTTAGGGCTTTTGGGGGTTTAGGGCTTTCGGGTTTAGGGTTTGGGGTTGGTGGTTGGATTGAGGGAGTCTTGGCTGTCGGGCTGTCTAAGGTTTAGGCCTCTTAAGTTTGAGGGCTTCAGGCTTAGGACGAGGGAATGGGCTGTTGAGTGCTTTGGGTTTAGGGTTGCAGGTTAGGGGTCAGGCTGTTTTAAGTAGAGCTTGAGCAGTGCTGTCTCGAAGATGTTTACGATTTAGGGTTTAGGGTTTAGGGTTTAGGGTTTAGGGTTTAGGGTTTAGGGTTTAGGGTTTAGGGTTTAGGGTTTAGGGTTTAGGGTTTAGGGTTTAGGGTTTAGGATAGTCTCACCCTAAACCTTAAATCCCAAGCCCCCGACAGCACTCAACCCTGACAAGAAAACAAACTCAAAAACCGCAGCCCAAAACCCGAACCCTAGCCCTGAACCCTAAACCCTAAACCCTGAAGCCTAAACCCTAAACCCTAAACCCTAAACCTCTGCCCAGCTGCAGTTCGCGACGTCTTCTCGCATGGCCTGCATGATCTTCTTCGAGTTGTTCAGCTCCTTTGCGGATTGCGGTTTAGGGTTTAGGGTGTAGGGTTTCGGGTTTAGGGTTTAGGGTTTAGGGTTTGGGGTTTAGGGTTTAGGGTCTAGGGTTTAGGGTCCGATTATCACCGTGCTTATCACCCAGTGAAAACCCTGTCAGGGTACTTGAGGGGCTTGTGAGTGGGTTATCACTACACTTATAAGTGGTTACGAAGTACCCTGAACCTCCAAGCTTGGAGCAATGTGGGGAAAGCTCTGTATGAGTAGCCATAGGCTCCTAGACCGGAGAAAAACCTAGGATTAAGGAGGGTTTAGGGCTTAGGGTTTAGGGTTTAGGGTTGAGGGCTTAGGGTTTAGGGTTTAGGGTTTAGGGTTTAGGGTTTAGGGTTTAGGGTTTAGGGTTTAGGGTTTAGGGTTTAGGGTTTAGGGTTTAGGGTTTAGGGTGGTTTAAAGGGGTTAAGGTAACCTAGACCCTAAAAGAGGGAACAAGGGCCTCCTCGGGAGCTCAAAAATCCGTGGAGACATGGCCACGGCTCGAGAGCGAAGAGCTCGTCCCCG